TAATTTTTAACAAGATATGGATACTTAAAAAGTATATTATGGACTATAAAAGTCACTGCTAAACAGAGGTCTCCCCCATAGATTGTTTCATAAGGGGAATTCTGCCAAAGTTGAGACGCTTGGCAGGCGGTTTGGCTACCGTAGTTTTTATTATGTTGGGTTTTTATCTGGAAGATCTTGCTGCCCATCAACCATTTCAATTTTCTTCTGTCGCCTCTCACGATACCCACTGGACGATACGGGGTAGTGGGTATTCGAACACCGCTACTACACGATACTTTAATAAAAAAAGTCAATACTGTTAATTAATACCGATAAAAGAAGAAAGAAACAGAACTACCTTTGGTTATTATACTATAAAAATATATATTATTACTTTGGTTCTTTTTGTAGTCTTTTCATCCTAAAAATAAAAATGTAGTAAAGTTGTCAAACTATAATATTCATTTATAAAATTTGCTAACGTTTCCATGTGGTTAATATAAGTATTCAAATAAAAATAAATCGAAAATAATTATCGACGTCTTTAATTTTCGAGGTCTGAAATTTTCTAATTATTATATAGATTATACTTTGAATTTTTTTGCACAAATTCTAGTTGTATTTCCGTACATATCATCCGTACTACTTTTTTCATCAATTTTTCGACAATCTGGATACATTTTCCCTACCATCTTTTTTATACTCCGAAACCGGTTTCAAATATGTTTAATGATGTTTTTACGACATTAGAACGTACGTTGATTAGGGATATATTTTTAGAATACTTGAAGCCTGCCTTCTGTTAAATTTTTCATAAATTTACCCGTTTTTTTCCTACTTTTGAAACAGCATATTTGGCGATGAAGTTCCATTGCCATGTTTTCTACAAGCATTTTGTTATCATGTACCTTACAGACTTACGCTTTTTCTTTTCTTGGTCATTTGATAGCTGCTTCTTTGCTTTTTTATTTATTCTTTCCATCCGACTAAAAGATTCTAAACTTCTGCCTAAATTGAACTTCCATTATTTAACTCGTCACAAATTTTATTATTTCTTTCGCAAACTGCAAATTTTGCTAAAAATGCGAACTTTCAGAGACATTTCATTATACTTAAATGTTTTTTTATTTGCAAGTAATTTTTAACTTAATTTAACATTCATCAATCATGTTCTCAATTTCATTTTGATGACGGAAATCGTTGTTATTTAGGGCGTGGATGTAATTGCGTTTACTTTGAAATCAAAACCCTCCATTATGCTATCGCATATTTAATTACGATAATTCCTTTCATTTTTATAACACTAGATGTTGTTGACAACGTCGTTGAGAATATATCTCAGCGCAGTCATGCTAAACAAATAACAGCTGTGTTGGATATACTTAGTAGTAATTATAAATGTATTATAAGTAGTAATACAAGTAGTAAGTAAATGTATTTACATCTAAATACGTAACATTCCTGGACAACGGAGGCCTTCTCATTTCTGAGAAGGTTTACCCTTGTTTTAACAATATCTTATCTCTAAAATAATGAAATTATATTTAGATCAATCCTAAATAAATAAAACTGCTAGACAAAGGCGTCCTGTCATTTCTGAAAAGATTCATGTTTGTTTTAACATCTCATATCCAATGAAAACCTCTTAAACAATGAAACTGTGCTTAGATCGAAAAATTTGTTTGATCTATTACCAAAAACACGTAAAACAAGTCAAATAACAACAACAAAATACTTTTAAGATCTTGCTTGAGTGGTAGTTTTTACAAATGCCTTAGGGTTGATTTTTCAATTGTTAGATAAAAGTTATCTATCAAATAAATAGGAACAGTATAATAGTAATAACAGGAATATATAAAATTATTTATTCTTGTGTCTACCGACCGCACAGCGGTAACCAGGAGATAACTAGGCTATTTGAATACCTCAGTGAAGCCTCTGATATGGCTCTAAATCGTTACCCTAATGCACAGTTGGTTTTTCTGGAGGACTTTAATGCCCGTCATCAGGTCTGGCTGTTCCCATACCAGAAAAGTGAGCACACTGGGAGAGAGAGGTGTGGAATTTTGCCTTGTGGCTGGGGCTGTCTCAGCTGGTACAACAAGCGACTAGGGTACCTGATGTGGACACACAGCCAACTGCCCCGACCTTTTGTTGACGACCGAGACAGGTACAATGTTCAGGTTACCTCACCCTTGGGAACTTCTGACCACAGTCTGGTGAAATTTGTGTCGTTATATTCCCCACCTAACTACGATTTACAAGTGTGTGAAAAACACATTCTTTAAACATTTTCATTCGGCGGTCGTCTAGCACTTTAACACTGAACTTTAGTGATGTTATCGTCAGTATGTGCAGTTTTTGGACGTCCCGAACGTTCATCGTCTCCCAAGTTCTCACGGCCACGATTAAATTGAACTGCCCAAAATTCCACTGTGGTAAATGATGTTGCAGAGTTCCCATACACATAGTTCAAAGTCATCTTTCATTTGCGTAAGCGTAGTAGTATAGTTGTAGCACGAATTATTATTATCGACCGGGGAAGGACCACGATCTCACAGAATACTAGCGTAAAATAGTAGCTTAATGCTGCTATGTTTTGTATAGTGAGTGTAGAAAACCGGAGACCGTTTTTACTGGAAACGAGGCATTCCATTTTAGTCCTCACGGGTGACAACGCATCTGCATTTTGATTCATAGTCGAGGATATAGATGTAGAAGTCGATGGACCACAGCAACCACTTACAACCATCAGGTGGACTGTGTGCTCGTTTGTCACCCTATCCTATATAAAAAAAAATATTTGAAAGCTCGATATTAATTTTTTTTTATTTTTAAAAAACACTCACATCGACTCACTCAAACGATTGTCAAACAATAACTAGTCGTTCAAAATGGCTGAAAGTTTGGTGGGTAACTGTCAAAAGATACACAACTACATTCACTAGATTTTATCGACGAGTGCTGTCATCTTCACGTTGAGATAGGAAACTTTTCATACCACCCTGGTACAGCACAAAAATGTTTCCATCTATGTCCGTTATAAACTTGGAAACCATCCAACTGATGTGCCCCAAACCGGTTTCATTAGAAAGGGAATAATGCGAAGATGGTTTTAGATCACTAAAACAATGCGTTAGGTACTACACAAAAAAGTTAATAAGAAATAAACAAAATTTCCTTTTTTTGCAACAAATAAACAAAATGTATTTCTTTTTTCAGCGTTATTGCACACGCACAAGCACACGCTAGGTATTTGCTAGTATCATCATCATCATCATCATTACAGTCCGTCACAAGTCCACTGCTGAACATAGGCCTCCCCCAAGTAATGCCACAAAGCACGGTCCTGAGCCACCTGCATCCATCGACTTCCTGCATATCTTACCAGCTCTTCACTCCAGTGGGGAGTCGCCCTACACTACACCTACCGGTACGAGGCTGCCACTCGAGAACCTTTTTTATTCGCTAGTATAGGATAACTTTATTCAATATAGATCACAACAATACCTAATCAACGTCATATATGCTATTATCACTGGTCCGGCGAACCAATAAGAAACCCATCGTTCCTTTTTTAAAACTTTAATTTAAATTAAAACACGTCATAAAAATAAATATGTGAATATTCAATCATCAGGTAAAAGTTATCCATCTAATAAATTATAACCCGACTGAATATAAAGGTAAAAAAAATGAACTATCTTATTCATTCAGCTGTAAATTTTGATTTGTTTGAGTTATATTCTATCCCATGGACAACGTTTATTTGTTGACTAAAAATCAGCCCTAACTTAAATGATATTACTACGCCACATACCCGTGAAGGCTTTTTCCCATTTCTGAGATGGTTTTTGGGCAAGAGACCGCCGCGTTGCTTTAATGTTAGTAGGCGGGTATCACATATCCATGAATTATTTTAAGTTCCAATGAAAGGTTTTCTCACTAAATGAGCTTAGGGCATGGATGTATCCGTCGCCATGCTCTAGTGCTTGTTGGTGGATTTCACACGTCTTAGGTTTTCTTTATATCTCAGACATGCAGGTTTCCTACACCGCCGAATATGTGGTAATTCTGAAATGAAGCTGCAATCAACAATTTCCTTGGTACTGGCGGGGATCAAACCCTGGTTACTCGTAGTATATTATGACTAGTGAATAATTCTATCCAATTCGTCATTTATTGCATGTATGCATGTGTGCATTTTAAAATAAATTATATTCTCGTTAATTTTTTTGTCATTGAATTGAAATATTTCATTAAATCTAATATATGTTTTTAAAGTGGTTATAAAAATATATAGTATAGAATATACATAGTCATTTGATTATTTGCGTTTCTCTATCGGTAAGTATAATAGAAATTCCCAAAAATTGTTATTCGCCAACATTTGTTAACGATCATCGCGCGTTTTACAGCATAAATTTCTCTGGTTATTTGTGATTCAAATAGAAATCCATTTATAATAGGGTTTTGATAGGATGATCCTGATTTATTTCAGTAAGCATTAAAATTTCGTTTTAAATAATTGTGTACTTAGCTTTGCATAGATTTTTTACATACGATAGGAGTGCGTTAAAGTTATAAAGAACTGTTTTATACAAAATCCGCCAACATTTATTGGGGAAGAAGGGTTGACTCTTACTTGTCCTAGGAAGGATATGGTTGTGTCCTTCACACAGAACTTGGGTCACGGTGATCGTTTTCAACGGAGACTAACAGAACCAGATTATAGTGTAAGAGTGGGTGTTCATTAACAGGGGGACTTTCTATTCTCTTACTCTCATAGTCCAATAGAGTGACAATTAGACATCACCGGTGGGTAATCAGGTGCAGGATAATAACGTTTAAATGTTTTGTTCACAGCTTCGGTGGCTCGAATCACCAAGTTTCTCGGGAAAACTGGCACCCCATTGGTCACAACAGGAGGCTTCACTTTCGATTTTGTACAACCGAAACAAAATTGCCATCACGAGTACTACATGATGGTACGCTCCGGTCCACTCGGATTCAAGGATATGGCTTACTTCATCATTGACATTATGAGACAGTGAGTATTTTTTTCATTTGTTTCTTCAAAGACAGGTAAGCTTTAAACTTTTAAAATTACAATAGCTGCTGATGCATGAAAAAAAGTAAGTAATTTTTATTTTAACTTGATTATTATAAGCCATTTTTTAAATAAAAAACATCGGCAAACAAGACAATTTGTTTCCATGCAAATTCAGCAAACCGGAATACTCGTGGAACTACTTTGGTCTCTGACGTCTGTCTGTCAAAGAGTATTTAAATTTGGTATAGTTATAAAAAACGGCTTTCCATATAAAGGCTAAAAATTTTGATGTAGAGGGGAAAGTTTTAGGGGTTAAATCTGATGATACTTCAAATTATATGAGCATTGGTCGATTTTGAGATTAAATAATATGATTTAAAAAAGTTTTTAATTGGGTACGTATTACTTTAATTTCGATTGCTTTTTATTGATTTTTTTATTGAATATTATATTCATTTAATTCAAAAATATTTTTGTTACTTTTTAGTACGGAAAGTTTATTTCAAATTAATATTATTAATTGATAGATCAATTTCATAAGCTTCTACTCCGTGCACCTGTTACGCCCTATTTTTTATCCAGACGGTCGAAAAAAATCAAGCACTTTAATATTCACTATATGATAAATAAATATATTTTTCCTTATAGTCTTAGGGATAGTAATACCAACAAAAGTTTGGAATTTAAGAAAAAAAAATACTGTGTCTATTTCACAGACAGTTACTTCATATTTGTAACTGACTTCGATAGGTATTGTTAGGGTACTAGATAGGCTAAAATTAGAGGGCTTAAAAACTACAATTCATCCTGCCCGGGTAAATGCCAGGGGCAAACGTCTCATCTTCATCGTATGTATTACAGCATCATAACTTCTAAAATTTTGACCGAGTAAGATAAACATTTTATTTGCACTATCCTACTGACATCGTTTATAAGTTGGTGAGTATACATTTTTAGTTTCCTTATCCGTCCATGTTTTGGGTTTGATTTTTTAGCATGTGGAGAAGACAAAAGGTATGTATGGCTGAAAGCACAAGTCACGAGTTGTATATATATATATATATATATATATATATATATATATATATATATATATATATATATATATAAAGATATATTATATTAATATGTAATACGTAGTGTATATTATATTCATATCGGTAGAACCATCCGATACGTAAGGTAAAACTAAAATAAAATTGAAGCTTATAGACTTTTCTAAAAGGTTTGAACAGCAGTTAGACTGCCGTGCCGCGCCGTTTAAGTACGTTTTCTTCGGAATTCACATGAACTTGAAATACTTATTTGCCAGTATTAAAGGTTTCTACATTAATGTAAAAATAATAAAATACTTACACGGGAGCATTTTATATTCAATATTTCTTACTGTAAAAATACAATAAAAATAATATTTTAGCACAGAGCTGGGTAAAGATTTTTTCAGGCAAGTTCTATTAGGTGTGCGATTCTCGAAAGAATTGTCACTCTGGGCGGACTAGTGGATGAGCGCAGACCCAAAATCCTCGTACTGTTAATGCTGCCCCCCATCAGTAGTATTAATTTTTATAGGCCAGATATCCTAGAGGTCCTAGACCATCAATGACCAAGGTGTATTGCGTGTAGTAGAGGTCGATAATTGTACAAATAGCGCGGGTTGCCAATGATGCTATATAGATCTGAGATGTGCTCCTTAACTGCTGGCCGTATCAGGAAAATTAAGGTTGTTTGGCGAGCTAGTGAGAAAATGTTTTCTCGGAATTTATCTGTGTGTTACATTTCATTGAGTATTCAACCGCAGTAGAGTTAGAAAAGTCGAGATAGTCTAACGGAATATCTCTAAATAAGCTTGAATAGCACTGATATTCGAAATACCAACAACCAACGGGGAAAAAGTTCCCCGAGTGACAGCCTCGTACAGGTAAGGTTAATGTAGGGTGGCCTCCAACTAGATAGAGTGATGATCTAGTGAGAGACATATAGGACATCGATGAATGCGGATTCCTCAGGATTCATATTTTTTGATATCCTTTTTGGTGTTCCATTTTAATTTATTATGAATATGAGTTATTTTGTTCTATAAATATAAAGTCAGTTAATAGCTCGACTACAACGCTACATATTGAATGTAGTACGATAAGCTATAAAAACGTCTCTATAAAATAAAATACCTTGTGTGAATATGACCTTAATCCGTAAAGTGTTCAGAAGCTACACGATCCCCAACAAACGCACTAGCGATTTCATATTATATAGTTACGGTATATTAATTATTATTTTTTGTTGAAGCCTTATCAAATAAAATATTACAAAGGGCGGACTTAAAGTGTATTGATATTCTCTACAAGTCAACCCTGAGTGTGGTAGGAATTAGGTGCAGGTGCACTTAAATAAAAAATAAATTATTTGAAATTTAATAAGAAAATGATATCCAGTATAAAATAACAGAAAGACGTAGAAGCTCACATGGTAAGCGTTCACTGTAAACTTCATAGTACGAGAACAAACTGGATTCGTTTCCCGCCGGCACCAATGAAATTGTTAATTGCAACTTTTAGTGCTAATTAACCACGTGCTTGGCGATGAACGAAAACATCGTGAGGAAACCTGCACGTCCGAGAAATAAGAAAAAAAAATATTTCGAAGACCTTTGAAGTTTGCTAACAAGCATTGGGGCAGCGTGGCGGGCACTTCCTTCCCATGAAACCCTGTCTAAAATGAGGAGAGGCCTGTCCCCAGCAGTGGGACGTATATAGGCTATAATTTAATATAATTATAAACACACATATTCATATAATTATATAAGTGTGCACTTTGAATATTTTATAATCATACTATATATTTTTAATTAAATACTAAAATATGATATTAGTCAGGGGTGACAACGTATCTGCATTTTGATTCTTAATCGATGATAAGTGTCTCGTAGATGTCTACGGGCCACAGGATCTACTTAGTACGGGGACTTTGTACTCGTTTATCATCCTTATTATTTAAAAAAATGTTCTAGATAGCACATACCTGTTTAATCGATAATGGGTAACACGAGCGTCTGCACCAGCATTGCCTTGGATTTAAAAGGAGAAAGTGGGTTAAAAAATAAAGAGATCATAAGATGGCAGTGACTTTACGGAAAAGATCTCAAATCAACATTATGTAAACAGCACAATGTTAGAAACCAATCTTCATGTGCTTAATGTAACAAATGTGGGCTTAAACACTTGCTATAAACCTGAATCCTTGTATTGTTTTTTCACAAATGGTTTTGAATTTTAATCTTTGGAAGAAAATTTTGAACAAAGGTTAAAAATTCTTACTACGCAATAGTCAGAAGTAAGGTTCTGGCTTCCTTATCATCTCAGACTGTTGTAAAAATGAAATTAAAAAAGAAGAGAAAAAAGGCATGAAAAGTTAGAGGAACTGCAATAAAGAAATTTAATCACATTTACTCAACATCCGACAACTTCAACAGCATTCGCGAGATAATTGCCTTGTTAGAAAAAACTCAACTCAAATCAAATAAAGGAAGCTTTACGCTTTATGCAAACTTTAGATAGCTTCCGTAAAGAATTAAAAAGCAAAAGTTGTTTTAAAAATGAGTTATAGAACTGTTTTAGGTTTGGAATTTACATTTTTAATACATTAAATAAAAAAGGGGGAGGTTGATTATGTTTGTTTTGTATGTATATTTTTTTAATAGAATAAGGGTAAGAAGCGAGCACACAGTCCACCTGATGGTAAGTGAATGCTGTGGCTCATAGACATCTACAGTTACCCTTGATTAAGAATCAAAACGCAGATACGTTGTCACCCCTGAGGACTAAGATGGAATGCCTTGTTTCTAGTTCTTTAGATAGTTCTAGTTCAGTATTGCGCTGGTATTTTACGCTGGTATTCTATGAGAGTGTGATCCTTCCCCAGTCGAGCCGACCCATTCATGCTACAACTATAATATAGCTGCAGCGTTGCTAAAGCAAGTTAAAGTTACAGCCTATTTATTACCCAATACTAGGCGCGAGGAAAAGTTCGCTGCGCTGCCCCGACACTTGTTGCTCACACGCTGTTGGTGTTGGCGAACTTCAAATGTCTTCGACATATTTTTTTTTATTTTTTCTTTAGCGTGCAGGTTTCCTCACGATGGTTACAATCACAAGCACAGCAAAGCACGTGGTAAATCAATAATTTAGACTGCATTTAACAATTTTATTTTCTCTGGCGGATATCGAACCCGCAACAGTTTAGACGGCTCTTTAGTATCTTATCTTCGTATAATCTAAAACAATTTTTGTGATTATCTTTTTATCAGTTATTATAGGTTATTCTTCAGGAGTTTATTACTGTAAATATTAAGAAGATAATTTTTTGGTCGATCATATTTTTATTTTATTTTATAAAACAAAACGAACGAACGAATTAAACGAGCACACAGTCCACCTGATGGTAAGTGGATGCTGTGGCTCATAGACATCTACATTTATCCTCGATTAAGAATCAAACGCGTTTTTATACCTGAGGATGGAGATGGAATGCCTTGTTTCCAGTTAAAAAGTATCTCCGAATCTCTACACTCGCCATACGAAACACAGCAGCATTAAGCCGCTATTTTACGCTGGTATTCTGTGGGATCGTGGTCCTGCCCCGGTCAAGCCGACCTACTCGTGCTAGTACGTACCATAATATAGCTGAAGCGTAGCTCTACCACGTACAAAATCATAATCGTCATATGGAACAAAAAATGAAAATTTTTATAAGAAGTAAAAATTTAGTTCGAAGAAGTCAAAGGAATAGAATAATACCCACATAATATCCGCAGAAGTCGGTGCGAAGACAGTGTATACAATAATTTAACACCTTACTCAGAGGTATTACTTCCACTTAAAGTTAAGGAGTTAAAGTTTAGGTGTTAGAGAATTAGAAATTCTGTGGCAAACGTGTTCACAATACCTCAAGCACAGTAAAGTCTATAACGTGTTCAACTTTGGCTTATGCATGGCGCTTAT